TGGGTCATGCACATCCGAAAGACGGTGCGCTATCGTAACCATGCATTTTATACCTCCAACTGAAATACAAGGAAAGCAGCGATGGGAATTGAACCGAGAATCACTGTTCAGCACTCATACAGTTACTACCGGTACCACCAGTTAGCCCACCGAGCTAAGCTGCTCTGCTATTATTTAGTCACAAATTAGCAAATACCTTTAATGTTATATATGTGTTATTACATTATTGATCATTATATAAGCATTTTTTATCACTGTAATTATTATATCGTAGTAGCATTATAACTGCCATAAATACAGTTTATCGATAACATAAAGTGTAGAGAATGTGAGGGCACACCAACGATTGTTACATCGATTGCATTAATATTCACTAATTATTTAATAATCGTTTCACTTCCCATAGGATCAAGTCTAGTTTTTCGCAGGATGGAAAACGCCCTTTAAAATAGTTACCCTTCTTATGCTAAGAGGAAAATTTGTTTTAAGTCATTAAAAAAAAAAAGATCTGATGTTCCACAGGTTTTGAACAAGGTGCTTAGGATAGGAAGTCAATTTTATACTGGGCCCGACAATTGTTTCTATATAAACTTCACCACTAAACTTTATGTTGCTTTATGAATTGTATATTTCGGGTTTAAAAAAAATAAAAGTATTGCATAAACCAATACAAACTAACACGTTGTCAATGATAGGCCTATAATGATGAGATATCAGTGGAAGTCGTTAAATATTAAAATCGTAATACTGTACATTATTGCTATATTTTAGTGGATGCCGGAGAAGAAGGGACTTGTGAATGGCTTGGTCACCGGTGGACACGGAATAGCTGCTGTTATTTGGAATCCAATAGAAACTGAGTATATCAATCCGCATAACCTGTCACCCAACACATCGTTGAAGGAAGAACCGACAGAAAGGTATCACCGCTTTTAATTAACATTTTTTTCTACTACAGCAATATTTTATTATTCCGAGTGCGCCCGAGGATTATTCCTTAATATACTGATTTCTTTTTGTTTCACCCAACCAAAATGTTTGCTTCTGTAAGCAAGCTCCGTGCTTAACTGATTGTTAATTTTTTCCTCCTTTAAAGGTGACAATTGACAATCATTATCTATTAATCTGTGTTGAGCCATAATCTTTAATTACGATACGATTATGGTAGCTAATTTGTAATAATAATATTGATTTTTTTTTACACCAGGTACTTTGCGGAAGCTTCAGTTCTAGATCGAGTACCGTCATGTTTTTTGCTCCTCGGCATTTCATTCGCAATTATTCAATTCATCGGCGTGCTCTTACTATTTGATCCATCAGAAGTGAGTATACTACAAATTAATGCGCCAAACAAGTCTACCAAATAAGCACACCACGCACATCCCTACATAAAGCCAATACAATCCCTACTTGATTTAATACACACTGTCCACGCATTTTTCGAAACACACTATCCATACATACACATCGACATTTATCAATCATTTCTTTTTAGCCCTCAGAACCATGTGTTGAAGATGAGAAACATCTGACGAAGTCGGATGGTGAGCCTCTCCAGGCGGGTGGAGAGTACAAAACCTTCGAGATAGAAGGAGAAACTTCCGAGGGGGTAGAGGATGATACTGAGCAAGAACAAGGCCTTGTGGATGAGAAGTGGACTGGATTAGATATTCCTCCTCTAGAAGTGTACACTGAAACAGCGTTCTGGATTTTGTGGTCGACACACTTAATCACTGTGTTAGGAATAGTCTTTATAATGGCTTTATACAAGGTATACATACTATAGTGTAACCGTTTAATACCTACTACTACTTTAACCATAACTCATAGCGTAAATTCTTTGACAAACATTTTCAAGTTTACTTGCATAGCCTTACAGGTTTCACATGTCATTTTGTAACATTCGTATTTCTAGAAACAGTCAATTATTAGCAATATGCATTTACCGCTTTACAATCCGATTACTTGATTGGTTAATTGACTGATTGAGTGCTAACTGACTGATCGACAGACTGACCGACCGATTGACTGATTGACCGATGGACCGTTTGACCGACTAATTGATCGATCGATTGATCGATTGATTGATTGATATTATTGACTGATTGATTTATATCGATGAAATGAATAATATCGATTGCTTTTTATAAACTTTTATTCAAGGCATATGGGCAGACCATGATCAATGATGACTACTTCCTGTCATTAACTGGGTCAGTTAGTGCAATCTTTAACGGAGTTGGTCGAATCTTTTGGGGTTGTATGGCCGACAGATACTCATATAAGGTAAGATTACTATATAAAGTACAATATAAAGTAATAATAATTTAAGTAAAGTTGAATAGCTTGGTGTATTAAGATGCGTGTCTTCCAATACAAGGAACCTGGGTTCTTGTCAAGGTAACTGATTTTCATCGACCAAAATCAACTCCACTCACTAAGTCCCATTATGAAATCTAGTCTATAATGCAGAGTGTGTTATTGTCTTGTGAAGAGATATACCGTATGCTACGGTACTACTTGTGTTATTGTCTTGTGAAGGGATATATGCTACAATTCCCTTTTTGGGAATTGTTCGATGTTATATCCTTCACCTTGAACCTGAAAATTAACAAATATATGTGCATATATATGAAAATGAAATCACTATGTATATATATATATATATATATATATATATATATATATATATATA